TACCACAAGCAGCAGCAGCAACAGCAGCAGCAGCAGTAGCAGTAACAGCAGCAGCAACAACGGCTACAGCACCCGCAGCAGCGGCAGCAGCATCAGCGGCAGCAGCAGCAGCAGCACTGGTGATGATATAGCTGATGTTCTGCTGCGGGCTGCATGGAGGTTTGCTGCTGTTCTTAGTTCAAAGGAGGGCGCAGCAGCAGTAGAGTCTGCTGCTGCTGCTGCTGCTACAGCAGCATCTGCTGCTGTACAGGCAGCAGCATCAGCTGCTGGCCCTGCTGCTGCTGCTGTCCTATCTGCGCTGCAGCAGGAGGGTGCTGCTGCTGCAGCAAAAGCAGCAGAAGCACTTGCTAATGCAGCAGCAGCAGCAAACCAACCTACCCAATGGGTTCATATGGACCTTGCCGATGCAGCAGCAGCAGCAGCAGCAAAAGAAGCAGCAAGAGCTGCTTCTGCTGCTGCTGCTGCAGCAGTCCCCACCGAATACAATGGCGCTGCTGTAGTGCAGCGCCACTACCCTTATGTGCCTCCATCAATAGCAGCAACAGCAGCAGCAGCAGCAGCAAGATCTCCATGGACGGCGGTAGAAGACCCGTCATTATCAGCATCACCAGCACCACCAGCAGCAACACCAGCAACAACAGCAACAACAGAAGCATCACCAGCAGCAGCACCAGCAGCAGCAACAGCAGCAGCAACAGCAGCAGCAACAGAGCCCTTGAAGGTATCTTCCCTACCTACAAGCCGTGTGTCTCGCGTGCTGCACTTTGGCGGTTTGCTGCTGCGCTTAGGAGCAAGGAGAGCTAGGTTATCCTTGCAGCAGGCGCTGCCATTCAGAAGCAGCAGCAGCAGCAGCAGCGACAGCAGCAGCAGCAGCAACAGCAGCAGCGACAGTGCAGCGGCAACCGCAATACCCACTGCTGCTGCCGATGTTACTGCGGCTGAACGTCATCTGCACCAGCTGTCTCCGGACGCGGCAGCAGCTGCCCACCTCTTGAAGCCCCTGCAACAGCAGCAGCAGCAACTGCAGCAGCAGCAGCAGCAGCAGCAGCAGCAGCCGCTTATTTCTATTGATTCGGTCACTGCCCAAATCCTCACAGATAAAATTTGCCGCATGCGTGGCGCTGCTCTGAAGTGTTTGCAGATGCTGAGGTGAGTAGTACTGTTGCTGCTGCTGCTGTTGCTGTTGCTATTGCTGCTCCTGCTGCAGTTGCTGCAGCTGCTGCTGCTGCTGGTGGGTGTGTTGCAGCATGGCGGACAATTTGCTGCCACGGCCCCTCATCGATGCACTCGAGAGAACTCGAGACAACGCCGATGCCATGCCTCCTTGGGAGACTGAAAAGGTGAGCTGGTGCAGCAGCAGCAGCAGCAGCAGCAGCAGTAACAGCAGCAGCAGCAGCAGTAGGGGTAGTAGTAGTAACACCAGAAGCAGCAGGAGCAGCAGCAGCAGGAGTAGCAGTAACAGCAGCAGAATTGGTGGCAGCAAACCATAGTGGGATTGTCAATACGATATGCTTTCTGCATTGAGTGCTTGTTGCTGCTGTTGCTGCTGCTGCTGCTGCTGCTGCTGCTGCTGTTGCTGCTGCTGTTGTTGCTGCTGCTGCTGCAGGTGCTGAGGAGGGAGTTGGGGAAGGATTGGAGGAAGCATTTCCGCGAGTTCAATATGCAGCCATTTGCTGCTGCTAGCATTGGCCAAGTATGTTGCTGCTGCTGCTGCTGTTGCTGCTGCTGCTGTTGCTGCTGTTGCTGTTGCTGCTATTGCTGTTGCTGCTGCTGCTGTTGCTGCTGTTTCTGCGTTGAACTCCCGCTGCTGCTACTACCATAACTACTACTACTAGCGCAACAACAAAACGACTACTACCAATAGTACTATTACAATTACTGCTGCTGTTGCTGCTGCTGCTGCTGCTGTTGCTGCTGCTGCAGGTGCATCGGGCTGTGCTGACCAATGGGGAGGAAGTTGCAGTAAAGTTGCAGTATCCTGGTTAGTTATTTTTGTCTCTTTTCTTTTTTATTATTATTTATATTTATTTGTCTCCTTTTATTTATATTTATTTGTCTCCTTTTATTTATATTTATTTGTCTCCTTTTATTTATATTTATTTGTCTCTTTTTTTTTTTCCTATGTGTGTTGTCTTCATCCCTATTCATCTTGATCTACTACTGTTACTGCTGCTCCTGCTGCTTCTGCTGCTAATGCTGCTGCTGCTGCTGCTGCTGCTGCTGCTGCTGCTGCTGCTGCTGCTGCTGTTGTGTCTCAGGTGTTGCTGCATCAATAGAGTCCGATATAAATAATTTATTATTATTATTACGTGTCTTTGCTGTTATTAATTCTTATTTATATATAAATTGTCTCCTTATAGAGATAAAAAAAGAATTAATTAATGAATGTAATTATATACATGAATTAAATAAACATTTCTTCTTTTTTTGTCTCCTTTCTCCTTTTTTCTCCCCTTTTTTGTCTCCTTTTATTTATTTATCTGTACCTAAACCTTATCCTCATCTTACTACTCAACATATACTTACTACACAATATATTCACGGAGTAAGTTCCTCCTCCTGCTGCTGCTGCTGCTGCTGCTGTTGCTGCTGTTGCTGGTGGTGGTGGTGTTGCTGCTGCTAATGCTGCTGTTGCTGGTTATAGCGGTGGTTGTGGTGGTGGTGGTGCTGCTGCTGCTTGTTGTGATGCTGATGTTGCTGTCTTGGCTGCTGCTGCTGTTGCTGCTGCTGCTGCTGCTGCTGCTGTAAGCTTATTTTCTACTTAAGAGTGGGTGGGGAGGGTATATATGCTGCTGCTGCTGCTGCCGCTGCCGCTGCTGCTGCTGCTGCTGCTGCTGCTGCTGCAGCTGAAGAGCGTCTTTTTGAGTGTCTGTCTGGTGCTGCAGGTCCCTCTGGCGGAGGCGGCGCGAACTGCTTCGCAAGTAAGACGAGACAGCAGCAGCAACCGCAGTAGCAACAGCAGCAGCAGCAGCAGCAACAGCAGCAGCAGCAGCAGCAGCACAATGGGGGGATGCTGTCTTTTGTATTTTTTTTTTTGCTGCAGGAGGACAGAAACTTGATGGGAGAACAGCTGCTGCGGTTAGTCCTCAGAGAAATCTTCGTATACCGAATCATGAATACTGTAAGGCTAGGGTTTAGGGTTTAGGGTTTAGGGTTTAGGGTTTAGGGTTTAGGGTTTGGCAGTCTAGCAGCTCAGAAGTAGGACTTTATATTGGGTCTTCATTCTTGGGGTTGTAAACCGAGCACTACCACCGCCGCCAGTCTAGGGTTTAGGTTTTAGGGTTTAGGGTTTAGGGTTTGTGGATTAGGGTTTAGGGTTTAGGGTTTAGGGTTTTGCAGGATGCGAATCCATCGAATTTTCTTTGGGACGAAAAATCGCGACGTCTTTGGCTGTTGGATTTTGGGGCTGGTAATTCAATTCAACAAGCCCTCCCTAGTTGCCTATACACCCCAATATAAGGAGTGCATGCATGCATGCATGCAGTTTTGTATGCATGCATGCATGCATGCACATTTGGGGCTTTGTTGTGTTTAGGGCGATCGTTTTCCGTCGAATTTGTTGATAAGTATAAACGTCTTCTGCAAGCTGTTGTTGCAGAGGTGAGAACTGCAGCAACAGCAGCAGCAGCAACAACAGCAGCAGCAACAACAGTAGCAGCAACAGCAGCAGCAGCAACAGCAGCAGCTTAGTCCATGCATGCAATCCCTGCATCCCCTTTAAATCGGCTTTTGCATGCATGCAATACTGCAGCATGCATGCAGGCACCCAGACCCTAAACCCTAAACCCTAAACCCTATTTAATATATGTGTATTTATGCATGCAGGATCGTGAATTAGTGTATAGTTTAGGTGTATCATTAGGGTTTATTGGACCTGCAGATACACCTGAATTTATTAATGCACAATGTGCTGTCTTTGACCTCATTGGATCACCATTTAAACTACCCGTTAGTCTCCTGCTGCTGCTGCTGCTGCTGCTGCTGTTGCTGCTGTTGTTGCTGCTGATCCCTGCGCTTCCTGCTGCTGCTGTTGCTGCAGTGTTGAGGGCATTAGGGTGTATGCACAAAGATTTATTTTGTTGCTGCTTGCATGCAATTGTTGCTGTGCATGCAGAGGGGAGAGAGCGCATCGTATGCGTTGGACTTTGGATCTTTCCCTCTGCTGCAGCAGCTGCAGCAGCAAATGCAGCAAGTAGTCAGCAGCAGGAAGCAGCCTCCTCCCCCTGAGGTGTATTCCCTCCATCGTAAACTTGTTGGTTGCTTCCTATTAAATCAAATGCTTAAGGCTAAAGTTAACGCACACCAAGTAAGCTCCTGCTGCTGCTGTTGCTGCTGTTGCTTGCTGCTGCTGCTGCTGCTGCTGCTGTTGCTGCTGCTGCTGTACAAATTGAGGTGTACGTACACCCCGTTATTTGGTGTATTTGCAGATCTTTAGAGAGATTTGCTGCGAAGTTGAACAAAAAAATTTCAATTTCTCCGATGCCGTCAAAGCAGCAGAAGCAGCAGCAGCAGCAGCAGCAGCAGCAGCAGCAGCGCAGCAGAAGCATTAGATGCGCTGGTAGCAGCAGCAGCTGCAGCAGCAGCAACAGCTCAGCGTCGCTGCTGCAGCAGCAGCGGCAGCGTAGCTACATCAGCTGCAGTAGCGCAACTGCAGTAGTGCTGCAGCAGCAGCAGCAGCAGCAGCAACAGCAGCAGCGCTGCAGCAGCAGCACCGCCAGCAGCAGACAACAATCCGTGTGTCTGTTTATACTGTTGGCAATGTTTTTGTTTGTTTATTTCTTCTTTGTTTATAAACACTAATTATTAATTTTATTCTTCCTCTCTTCTTCTTAGGGTTTAGGGTTTAGGGCTTAGTAATTCGTAAACCCCAAACCCTAATTATATACTCAACACCCACCAAACCCTAAACCCTAAACACTAACCCTGTAGCCTATATACTAACACTAAACCCTAAACCCTACTCCGTACTAAATAAATCCTAAATACACCCTAATGAATAA